AAACAAAGCAAGCACTTTAACCATTCACCTTAAAATTAGTGTCCAAGTCATAACTTACTTTGTCACATGTGACACACCTCCTCGGAAAAGATCTTGGACAATTGATCTGGCTTTGGAAACTGTAGAACAGCTCAAGCATTGCTCAAGTAAAGAGAAAAGTAAGGTAAGGAACTCATGACTATCCTGCTGTACACCATTATCTAGCTCCAGAGTTTGAATAAATGGAGCAGAATCAACAAAAGCCATTGTGCTAGCCTGCAGCTGTGCAAAAAGTCGGGCAAGTTGATTCAACACAGGCTGTTCTTTCAAAACCTCCAGTTCAACAGAAAAAACACCTTTTCTAAATGCCTTATTCATGTACAGGCACTGGAGTATGCTATTGGCATAGCATGTCGCTCCCAGATTAGTGAGGCCAGCAGGTGAGTCAGGGGAAGCACGAAGGTCCTTTGATGGGTCATGACCGAGCGAATGAACAATCTCTGACATCTTCTGCCATAACCCAGCTTTTCGATTTCCATTGGGAGGAGGAATCAATCCGCAAAAGCAATTGGGGTTGTCTTTTGTATTTACACGACAACCTTGACAAACAGGCGTCCAAGTCATGTATAGTTGACTTGCATCATCTTCAGTCACTAGGCCAGTTGTGTGAATTCTCCTAGACAAGTGAATAATCAGGAAAAAATTATAAAAACATGATTACTCAGCTAGTGTCCAGTCAGCAATTCAAAGCCAAACATTTTTGCTTCAGACAAAAGAATCACACGCCAATTTTATGGCTTTTCTGGAAGGTGCTGCTGTAGAGAACATTCCTTCTTTACTGAGCAAAATTCAAAACAATTATTTTTCGGTAGGTACACCTACAAATCACATTCTTGCTTCAGCCCAACAAAAATAAAAACAATTTTGCTTCCAAAAATAAGTAAGACACGGAACAAGATACAAAGCATAGTGATAGCAGAAAAAATTTCAAAGTACTTTTCAAGCTTTTCATAGCAAATTTAAGGCAAAAATCTGCTTGAAAAAAAACCAAGAACTCGGTTTTCTGAAGCATAAACACAATGCGCTATTTTACTACTTGCACCAAACTTTATCTCTTAATTAATTAAGCACAAACCAGAAAAAAATTTTGATCCTGAAACCCAGATGTCAAGAATAGTGTATATTCATAATAATACATCATTTCTTCCAACTTAACTTAGCATAAACCAAAAATCTAGAACTTCAGAAAATAAATTGAGCGAATTTTTCTACACAAGTCAATGACCCGAAAGTTCATCACCCTGATGATTAATCTGTTTCAAAGCAGGTTTTGTCCTTTATGAGCAAAAAAAAATGAAAATCACAGTTCTATTAAAAAAAAAAAACAGCTGCAAAGAGTACTGGTTGTAAACTATATTCTTGATTTGCCCAACAAAAAGCCAAATTGAATCTACTTCCGAAAACAGTTTGAAACTACCCTTTTAGCAAACCCAGACCCACATTTGCTTCTTAAAGCAGGTTGGTCCAGGTAATGTTCTACAGCATAATCAAACTATTTTTTCCTGTCTAGCAGAGCAAACAAATCAAAGCATAATTCTAAGAGGTATATAGAGCATTTTCTTAAAAAATAGTAATGAATATAATTATTTTTTCCTATGAAATTGTTTTAGTGCATTACAGTCTTTAAAAGTATTTCTCTTGGATCCTCAGATCACAAAAAATAAAAAAATTAAAATTAAAACATATTTATACCTGAAAATTTTACAAGTGGCAGCAGCACTATCGTCCGGTCTTTGCCTCTTATTTTTACTCCGTGTAGTCGGCCGATAACTCATATTCTTTATCTAGACTACCCAACGATCAGCTCTATAACCACCAAGACTGCCATTAAGGTTCAATAATTTGTATCATCACAAAAAATAACTTTCTATCGTTCATTTTCACATAAAATCGTGTAAAACAAATGAAAGTAGGGTTTAAAAACCAAAACATATCAAGAAGTCAGTGAAAAATATTTGACAAGAGCCTTACCTGTGAATTCAGAGTGAATGTTTTGCTACTGTTGTATGATCGGTTTCTTTTGGTCTTCTAAATCTGCACTGTTAGGTTTTCTTCTGGTTTTGGCTGTTGCATTTTTCGTATTTTTGGGTCATTTGGGGATTATATTATTGAGGACGGCTTTCGGTAATCCCTCATAAATACAAACGAGAAACCTCAGTTGTTATGGCCAAGGAAATCCAGCTGACTTCTACATTTCTTAAAATTTCTATTCAGAGTAATATTAGAAAAATGCTATTTTGATCTAAGAGAATTAATTTAAATATCTAATTAATTATAACCGTTAGATTTAATATGAGCTTCATCTATCATTAAAATTTACAATTAATCTAATGTATATTCCCAAATTAGGTTCTTACAAATTTTGTACTAAAAATAGGAAAATTTTCTCATTACTATGGTATTTTTTCAATAAGAAATTATCATGTTACAAAACTATTATAGGCCGTGTGAATCTTATTTTTTAAATAATAGAATTAGGGGTGTTCAAATTTTTGCTTACCCGATCTAATCGGACACTACCCAATTGACCGGCTTCCACAAAATATCGACGGTCTAATGGAAGACTTTTTGATATTCCCCAAAAATTGGGTAACCATGAGGAATACCCATAAAATTTATGTCTTTCTACCTAACCCCCTGGCATATTTATACTTTAATAAATATATTATGACCTAAATATAAATTGATGCACACATGATGCTCACAAACTCTAAAATCCCTCTCTGTCGCATGAGCATCCTCCTCTTTCTCTCAATGCCTCTCTCTACGCCTATCTTCCATCGATCGGACTTGAAGGCACAAGCTAGTGAAGCCACAAGCATCCATCGAGGAAGGCTGGCTTCAGAGCCATGGGCAAAGCCAAAAAAATTATTTATGATGGACACTGAACATTATAAAGTTTTAATTTTCTTTTACTTGCGATTAATAAAATTAATATTATACATTTATGCTTAATGACATCATGTTTGATATTTAGAAATTCACCCAAAAAAAGGCCAAAAATCGGAAAGCATGTTGTATAAAATTGAAAACAATTAGAAATACTAATTATAAACAATGAGATTAATTAAAGTTATTTATAATTTTCTTTTTCAAGTGGAAATATTTACAACTCATGCCAATAAATTTTCATATTTCGAAAGTGAGGAGTTGTAGTCACTGTTGCTACTTGTTCTTCTCCCCTATTTCTCTTTCTCCCTATACTCTATCCCAAAGTGTTGATTGTGTGGTTAGCTTCAAAGTTGTTAATAAGATAAATGACAAAAAAAAATGAGTCAAAGTGGTGTAGGTCAAGGGTGGGCACCATTAGACAATGGGTAAGCACAACTAAAACAATATGAAAATTGCGCATAACATATATAGCTGATTTTTTTTTCAGGGTGGGCTAGTGCCCCTCTTGGGCTAATGTTGGTTCTGCCCATGTTCAAAGCTCCATCGAGGTTGCTTCATGTACATACTCTTGCTCTGCCTCTCTCTCTTTTCCTATCCTCTCTACAGTATCATGTTGATCTAGAAGTTGGGGCTTTCTTATGTTTTGTATCTACAAAGACATAGCTTTAGGTTGATTGAGAACTCACCATTATTGTTGATTACACGATAGTCCATACCCAAATTGTGTTGCCCTAATCAAATTTTGTGTAAAATGGAAACCCTAGAAAATAGTGACGATTGTGTAGAGATCAGTTCGAATGCGAATAAGTCTTGTCAATATTGCTTTGCTTTAATATACAAAGAGAGATTTCTAAGCGGCAAAGTTTGTTGAAGGGAGACAGCGAAGGATGTATGTATATATAGACCCTTGACATGAGAGAGAGAGAGAATGAGAATTTATAGAAAATCTTGGTATCATTTTTGTAAACCTCCACATGTTTATATTAATATAATGATATAATTTTTTTAGTAATTCTAATATATGTAATGACGTAAGAATTAACCATATATATTATAACAGTAGAAATAAATATTTGGGAAACAAATTGATTGTGAAGTTTAAGTTGCGAAGGTATTTAAACTTGTAAGAGGTTGTTAGGTAAGTTCAAAACATTTTTAGGTCAAAATAAGATTTTCATTGAATGTGGAAGGTCGAGAAACCTTGGGAGAAGTAATATGGGGTGTATTATAAATTAGAAAGTGTTCCGGAGTTAAAGCACAATTTAGAGAGAATTGGGGTAAAAAGGATCTTGGACACTACCTAGTATTTTGATCATAACTTTTTATTCTGAAGTCCATTTGATCTGAAATTTTGACAGTGTATAGTAGACTTCTAGAGCTACAAAAGTGTATTACACAAAAATTTTCCAATTCAACCTCTAAATGGGCCAAAACTGCACTAGAAGTTGAAGCAAAAATCTGTCAATCAAACCGTACCGGTACGCAGTACCGGTACGCCCAACTCCAGAGGCTAAATAGTACCGGTACTACATACCGGTACGCTTTATTTAAAGCTTGCCGAACAGTAAAAAAATAGGGATTTTTATGTTATAAAACACTATTCTAAGCCCCATTTGTCCCATTATTTCATTCCACTCTCACCCCACACCTCTTAAAACCCTAGGAGAAGATAAAGAGAGCAAGAAAAGGGAGGAAGAAGGTCTTCAAAGCTTGGACTTTTGATTTGAAATTCTTAATTACAAGATACAGGTTTTCTTCCATTCTTGTCCATTGATGCTAGGGCTAATATATATNAAGCTCCATCGAGGTTGCTTCATGTACATACTCTTGCTCTGCCTCTCTCTCTTTTCCTATCCTCTCTACAGTATCATGTTGATCTAGAAGTTGGGGCTTTCTTATGTTTTGTATCTACAAAGACATAGCTTTAGGTTGATTGAGAACTCACCATTATTGTTGATTACACGATAGTCCATACCCAAATTGTGTTGCCCTAATCAAATTTTGTGTAAAATGGAAACCCTAGAAAATAGTGACGATTGTGTAGAGATCAGTTCGAATGCGAATAAGTCTTGTCAATATTGCTTTGCTTTAATATACAAAGAGAGATTTCTAAGCGGCAAAGTTTGTTGAAGGGAGACAGTGAAGGATGTATGTATATATAGACCCTTGACGTGAGAGAGAGAGAGAATGAGAATTTATAGAAAATCTTGGTATCATTTTTGTAAACNAAAAAAATTATTTATGATGGACACTGAACATTATAAAGTTTTAATTTTCTTTTACTTGCGATTAATAAAATTAATATTATACATTTATGCTTAATGACATCATGTTTGATATTTAGAAATTCACCCAAAAAAAGGCCAAAAATCGGAAAGCATGTTGTATAAAATTGAAAACAATTAGAAATACTAATTATAAACAATGAGATTAATTAAAGTTATTTATAATTTTCTTTTTCAAGTGGAAATATTTACAACTCATGCCAATAAATTTTCATATTTCGAAAGTGAGGAGTTGTAGTCACTGTTGCTACTTGTTCTTCTCCCCTATTTCTCTTTCTCCCTATACTCTATCCCAAAGTGTTGATTGTGTGGTTAGCTTCAAAGTTGTTAATAAGATAAATGACAAAAAAAAATGAGTCAAAGTGGTGTAGGTCAAGGGTGGGCACCATTAGACAATGGGTAAGCACAACTAAAACAATATGAAAATTGCGCATAACATATATAGCTGATTTTTTTTTCAAGGTGGGCTAGTGCCCCTCTTGGGCTAATGTTGGTTCTGCCCATGTTCAAAGCTCCATCGAGGTTGCTTCATGTACATACTCTTGCTCTGCCTCTCTCTCTTTTCCTATCCTCTCTACAGTATCATGTTGATCTAGAAGTTGGGGCTTTCTTATGTTTTGTATCTACAAAGACATAGCTTTAGGTTGATTGAGAACTCACCATTTTTGTTGATTACACGATAGTCCATACCCAAATTGTGTTGCCCTAATCAAATTTTGTGTAAAATGGAAACCCTAGAAAATAGTGACGATTATGTAGAGATCAGTTCGAATGCGAATAAGTCTTGTCAATATTGCTTTGCTTTAATATACAAAGAGAGATTTCTAAGTGGCAAAGTTTGCTGAAGGGAGACAGCGAAGGATGTATGTATATATAGACCCTTGACATGAGAGAGAGAGAGAATGAGAATTTATAGAAAATCTTGGTATCATTTTTGTAAACCTCCACATGTTNCGAAGGATGTATGTATATATAGACCCTTGACATGAGAGAGAGAGAGAATGAGAATTTATAGAAAATCTTGGTATCATTTTTGTAAACCTCCACATGTTTATATTAATATAATGATATAATTTTTTTAGTAATTCTAATATATGTAATGACGTAAGAATTAACCATATATATTATAACAGTAGAAATAAATATTTGGGAAACAAATTGATTGTGAAGTTTAAGTTGCGAAGGTATTTAAACTTGTAAGAGGTTGTTAGGTAAGTTCAAAACATTTTTAGGTCAAAATAAGATTTTCATTGAATGTGGAAGGTCGAGAAACCTTGGGAGAAGTAATATGGGGTGTATTATAAATTAGAAAGTGTTCCGGAGTTAAAGCACAATTTAGAGAGAATTTGGGTAAAAAGGATCTTGGACACTACCTAGTATTTTGATCATAACTTTTTATTCTGAAGTCCATTTGATCTGAAATTTTGACAGTGTATAGTAGACTTCTAGAGCTACAAAAGTGTATTACACAAAAATTTTCCAATTCAACCTCTAAATGGGCCAAAACTGCACTAGAAGTTGAAGCAAAAATCTGTCAATCAAACCGTACCGGTACGCAGTACCGGTACGCCCAACTCCAGAGGCTAAATAGTACCGGT